TCCGGTTTTTATGGATTTTTAGGTTACTTCTTTGCTATATATTTGCAGATGCGGACGTAAAAGAGAATTAAATATTGTTGCTTGAATTCGAAGTTCAAAACTTTGACTTTTAAGGTGTTGGTAATCAGTTTGATGTTGTTGAAGTGAATCGTCGACTTGCACGAACAGATCTGTTGTTAACGCAAAAGGCAGCATATGCTTCACCATTCAATTTGCAGTATTACGGAGAGATGAAGGAGGTTTAGCTGCTACTCAAAAACTACAACTGATAGAAATTTTATTAACCCTTTTAAACTTTGGAAATTAGAAATGTGTGAAATGAAACAACATCGATTCTAAGAAAAAGTATTACTTCAAAAATGATCTGGTAGTTTATTAGTTCGGGAGAAAAACCCTTCTTTCGAAGGCTTTCTTCAAGTGTCTTATTTTCAGAAAATGAAAGATGAGCTGACAAAACGTATCCGCATCCCATACGATTACGTATTGCTTGGAAGAGAATTAATTAAAAAAGTCATATCTCTGCGAGTTTCAATGGAAAATCCTTGGTTGTTAGACAAATTGATCGTCAAAGCTTCTCTACGGCAAGAGGTGCTTTTCCACTGTTTTTAAAGATTAGCAGTCGGACTGACCTATTAATCCTGCATTTATATATCGTTTTTTTTTTCATCCTACGCCCAATAAACCTTAGTATCACTTTGATTTGAATGGCATTTCAGGGGGTTGAAGTTCTCGATGACATGATTTTCCTCGAAAATAAAAATTTAAGAGGACCAAATATTGAACTGGAAGCTCATTTGCTACGATTTTATTTAGTTATTTGTAATCAATATATTATTCCGATGATTGGTCGCATTTATCACACATCATCAGATGAAAGCAAACAGGTTCATTGCTCCCAAATTTCAGATGCTTTTTTCGAAGATTTTTAATGCATGGACTTCTTAAGGCTTAATTTCTGTGAATATTTCTTTATATTATTTCCTAAACGCCTTATATACTGTTGTCGTTTCCGGATCTCGAGGTAGAAAAAATAGTTTATTGCAGGTACTTTATCCTGAAATAATACGGATGCCAACTATGGATGATCTCAAAAAGTACAATATAGTTGAAGAGGAGCCATATTTCGCGGAAAAAGCAGAAATCCTAGAAGACTTTGATGTTGTTGGTCTTATGCAAAAGAGAAGAAATAACAAATAAAAATTGCGGGTCAGTTGCCCGTAGATGGAGCTGACTACCATACACTCTCTGTAACACAAAGTTTAAGGAAATCTGAGTGGAAAACAGTAATCCTAAAAGATTTTGACGTCCTAGAGTATGACTGGGCCTCTGGGAATGAAAATTGATTTATTCGAAAAATCTTAATAAATAACCGCAAAAAAATAATGCAGCAATAATTGTTTGGAAAATATAATACAGAAAGTCAACGCATGTAGGAATCTGGTTATTAGCTCCCACAGCTAAAACAACGTGGACATAATACCAGTATCAATCGCTTTAAAATTAACGACAATCAGTAATTCCATCTAAGAAAAGGGACCAAGTTGTAAAGGAATTTAAATAGTTCCATAGTTTAATTTCATGTCGAAAAACTGAACCTTCTTTTATAGAGTGGAGGCATTCATTTTTTACTCACTCAATTTTGAATTACAGATAATATTAAAAAAGCCTCTAAGTATTTCGATAACTTCCGCATATTAAATTCAAAGGTTCAAAAAGATGTCACATAAAGTAAATCTTTGTATGCAACCATCGCGGAGACATTCACTAAAAAAGAACCGTGAAAAAAGAATTCTTGGAACAAAATAAAGCAGTAAGTAACCCATAAGAGCTACTTAAGGTCAAGTTCGTGTTATAACGCCCTTGTTCTCGAATAATCATTGCATATAAGACTGCATAAAACGACAAAACAACTCACCAACCAACATCAATTAAAAAACAAATGGTAGTATTCAAACATATAATTGTATCAATATATTAGTATCGTCGGCCACGTTCCCTCTCTCGCCAATCATCACGAGACCGATCGCGCGGTGACCGGTCACGTCGACGATCGCGTTTTGCGCTCGGATAATGGCCTGCTTCATCTGCATAACGACCTCTGCAAAAATTTGCCCATAATTTCAAGTAGTGAAAGATAACTCTCAGGAAACAGCAGGTTACATTGAATTTTCTATTGGGTAATGTTCCTCTTATGATTGCGTGGTATTCAAGACAATATTTTTGTAGGCTATTTGATGATCTTAGAAATCCAGCCATGGATCAGCCAATAAAGACGGGAATCAACCCTGACCCAGGAGGGAAACCAGGCCAGAAATGTGCAACATAAAATTAATGATAAAATTAAAATACCTGCGGCCAAAAAGCCTTTCTCCCAACTCCGGACTGATTGCTTTCAGATGCATAAAATTGCAGAATCCACCTTTATAACATGTGGTCACTTCATGTTGACGGCAACGCGATTCTCGAAAATCTGTCACTGGCGAAAGTTCTGCGTATATCGGTTGTCCGTTAAACCTGAAATTTCCAAATTTTTAATTGTTTTAAAAGGGTTGAACTTGCAAAAAGGAAAAGGTGCCAAAACTAGTAGTAAATCAAACGAAACTCAACAAAAACAGGTAGCACTAACTCACCTAAAAAATAATTGACGTAAAGCCACAAAGCAAGAGAGGTTATTTCTCTATACCCTAACCAACAACAATTTACCTTTTGAGGGATCATCATCGCATCAGGGAATGTATGAGAAATATCTAAATTAGGATTAAGTTAGTGATAAAGACTGAAAAAGTGTTTATGCTGCTCACTAAATTCTTGAAATTTCATTAAATTTACATATTCCTGGCCGATCCAGAACATAGTACTGCTTTCCGGAGAGAAGACTGCTTAAGAAGTTGCACTTTTGACTACGTAATTTGTATTATGGATCTAAATATAATTGAATCAGATGCAGTATCTAAAAGAATGGTTGGTAAGATTGCTGCTGTAACAATGAGCCATTTAATTTGGATTCGCCAGGTACCGCTGATAGAGCGACGTTGAGAATCTAAACAAGTTGAGCATCAGTTTTCGATAGGAGAACGGTTTACAAGAGTACACTTATGCAACTCCTCACCCTATTCTGAAATTCAGAAAAAACTTTCATAAACTACTCCACTTTCTTGGTCTCCCTGAAAAAGTGCTCAAAATCCGGGTCCAAAAAATCGAAATAAGAGAAAAAAGTTTTTGACGATGCCACAGAAAGAACCTACATGACAACCTGAAACATGCAATGCAATGAGAGGCACAACTGTTAGAGTGCACAACTGTTAGAGTATCATTACTTCCCTAACTTACCAACGATTTTCAAGATCCTTCACAGCCTTTTCAGCATCTTCTTCCCGCATGAATTTCACATAAACATTACCGATCATATGTTCGCCGATATTTTCACAAACATTCATCTCATCTATTTCACCATACTTCCTTTCCAGTTCAGTGAACACCTGGGATAATCCGCTAAATAATTCCATAAACATTTCTAAATCACCCAAGACAGCTTTAAGATATCGAAAAATGATCAAAAAAAATTTTTAAGCATTGACCTGAAGTTTTCCAAAAGTAAGTCTCTTTTACTAAATATTCGTGATTCTAAATCGTAAAAGAAAGAACTGAAATAATAATAAAATTTTCAAAAATGCTACTACTCACTTCTTCATAAAAGTCATCAAAATAAGCTTGCTCTTCGTCATTCTTCTTTCCAACCTCTAAAAATAAGTTCCTCGAAACAACCATTATAACATAATTTTAATAGAGACGACAAGTTAACCAAACTCTTCAAAATAAACCGCAGAACTGAAACTTACTATCAAAAGCATCAGCCTGACGTACGTCAACGATCGGGTTGTGATAAAAATTTTGAAGCAAAACGGTTGGCGAAAATGTTGGTCGGTGGTGAGTTCGTGAGCACTTATCACCGTGACGACAAGCACCGATCTAAAAAAAAAACGAAAATTTCAAAAATTAGCAACAGATACGAACTTTTTTGATGTCTACGATAATCTAGCCATTAACAAATTCTGACTTGCAAGTAATCACAATATTAGACTTCAAACTGATTTTTATTCTGTCACAATATAAGCGTTGATTTAAGGTTGATACCTTAAAGTAGAATGAACAATTAACTTTATCTTTTTCGGTACCATAAATGGAAGCCAAATATTCGGCGCCCGAAAGACCTTCAGTTTGTTGATAACCATATGATCCTGTACGTCGGCCAGCCATCAATCTTTCTGATTCCTACCTCTCTATTTAGTTCTGAAATTCGAATTTATATATTTTCCCAAGCAACATTGATAAACCCTAGTAGAAATTCTTACAACTGTACAACCATCGAGTGCCATAAATGTCACAGCACTTATGCACAAGTTTACAAGATCGTAAATGCAAAGCGCATTTCTGCTATAAATTTCTTTATTTGCGGAGTAATTCAGTAGTTAATCCTTTCTTTACAAAGCGGCAACAACGTAAGTCCTTGAATGGTCCTCTCGCCTCACGACAGTCACACATACATACTTAAACGGTCCCCTACCCTCACGCCAGAAACGGTCCTCACGCACACATCTACCCACACCCACCGAAGAAAACAATTACGAACAAAGTGCAGTATTTCAAGTAATACAGTATTCCACCGAATTTCGTGTTGATATCTCACTTTCTGAAAAAGCTAAATGACAAACTTCATTCATGCCGCCAAAATGTTAATGGGATGTGACTATTGCGCTTTTTACAATCATTCTACTATTTTGTGCGCGTTAACAAAGAAGAATTGGTAATCTCATCAGATGTAGAAATTATCACAGCGGGTTCATTTGTGTACATCGAACCATCTAGAACCGAAAATTAGAATCGGAGAAACAAATCGAATCTACCGAATAATCATAATTAAGTTGAGTGATAAAAAATAATTAACTGGCTAGATATTTCACACTAGTCACATATATTGTATGCCTTACTATAGCTACTTTTCAAACAGTGCATGAGCAAAATATAAAAACGCCGAATGCTGTGAGTTGTTTTGTGATATAGGGTTCGCTGTCTGTGGAAGTGCTATCTATCAGGTAATGGCATAGGCTTCCCGCTCCCTCATGGTATCGATTTGTCAGCGAAGATGTAGTGCCTGTACCGAGTTGATCGCGCCTCCTCAGGTAACCGTCACTCCCCAGCGACACATATTCACTGATAGAGTAGAATACGGACTGTTGACAGTTACTCTCCTTCGATGACAATGTCTCTCCCCACAGAGTCAGCAAACGATGCGAGCTCATGGCAAAAGTCACGATGTCCTATGTCTTCCCGCGGGAAGTCCCAGCAAAGAAACGATACTTCCCGCTTCATTCTTGTTGTAGTACCTCTCTCTTTCCACCGCCCCTTGGTATGGTTGTCGTCTTGTATCCATGTCAATGTCAGCCTTTGTGTAGAGCAGTGATAGTTCGGATGCCTTCTTCCTCCCTCCTCACTCTAAGGTTCTCTATGTATTGGCAGAGGGATACCGCTTATGTCTGTACGACGTTATTGTTTAAACTAGTCCCGCTCTCCCTTCCCTTTCGTTTGTTCAGGGCCTCATATTGATGCCTGTATGTTTTTCCTCTCTTCCTATAGTCTCTGTGTGACAAGTTGTTTTGTCTCTTCTTAAAGTCCCTCCATTATCTGGACAATGCCTTGACATAACAATGCCTTAACACTCCATCCTCCCGAACAGTTCCTCTTTATGATGGATGTTTGGGTGCGGCATGTTTATTGAGGCATGTCTTCCTTTCTTTATGATCATCGTTTAAACGAATAAATACCTTATGACTGTGACGTTGAGTATTCCCCATTTTTACTTTGCAAATTGAATATTTTGTAGGTTGCGACCATCGAGGTGGGGCCGTTTGCTTAGCATGGATTTTGCAAGTTTTGCTGCAGCTGCTTTACGCAGCTCAGCAGTTTTGCCATGCGAATCGTTCGATAGTTACTGGATAACTAACGCTTCTGTTCAGTTCGGATTGAAGTAAGTCCAAAAAGAATATTTTTAGGTGTCTGTATTTTTTTTTTTTTTGAAAAATTTGATGAGATAGTCAAATGCTTTGAGGAAGTGGTTAATCAAGTAAGTAGGCTTGGTTTAAATAGAAATATAAAATAGAAAGATAATATATAAAATATGCTTGAGTACTTGATAATAGAAAATTTGCGCAGCAATTATTTAAATTCAATTCAATCTGTCAGTTCAAGAAAATAAATTGGATTTAAATCACGAAAGGTTTTTCAGAAGTGTAAAGTGTACGTTTCGTTTCGAAACATCATTTGCAGATGCTGAAGACGAAGCTGGCACATTAGTAAGTTTGTAATATTTTTCCGACTGATTTTATATGACAAGTTAACACTTGAAGTTATTGAATTAGTGGTAATCTAAATCCAGTCAATGCTCTTTCCTGTTGGTTTTAAAGTACTAGAATTTTTGAAAAAAAAACCATTATCATATATATATATATATTTTGCTCATCTGAAATTAAGACGTTGTGGTAGTATCACAAAACTGTAGTTTTTCTTAAATCGCTTTTGATAGAACTTTATATAGTGTACCTGATACTTCATAGGTAAATGGTGATAATCGTCACACTGTATACATTCTTTGGGTTTCATCATGTGAAGATCCTTCATTGTTGTACTCCTGTCGAATGGATTCAAAAATCGATAAGGTTGCACTTCGTTATGGGCAACGTACACCTTCGATCCTGAAAAATATGATTGAGGGAGCAAATATGCCATCGGATGATCCAAAATTGTAAGCTTTCAATAAAAGTCGTGGTTTGAATGTTCACATTTCTCAGTACATGATTAATCTGTTTTTAAGCTGTAAATTTGAAGTTACGATATTAATGTTCAGATTTTTTAGCACAATGATTAATTTGATTGGTGAGCAAGAAATGGGTCTGTTCATCCGACTTTGTGTCGCACCTGGTGATGGTCCATCAGCACTACGGCTCGCCTTACGCACTCCGTCTGCAGCGGAATGGAAAAGTCATTTATTGATGTTTATTCAGAATTTACAGGTAGGCATTTTGTAATTCGTGGAATTTAGCGTATGTGGTATAGTTCAAAAATGGTTCTGGATCAGAAATTTTTTCATTGAGAAGTGACGTCGTTGTATTTTGCAGTACTAGTTTCTCTACTTAATTCATCCGGTGCTTTCTTTATTTTACAGTGGTTGTAGTGATTTTTTTTTTTTTGAAAGGAGCTTGAAATGTGGAGCACCATTCTGTCCCATTCATATATTGGAGCGTTTATTCCTTGTTGGCTGTCAATGTTTATTCCTTATTAGCTGTGGTGATAAAGTACCTCTGTGGATTTTAAGTATTAATAGGACTTCAATATAGTTGAATAAATCAAAAATTTTTTACTTCAACAGTTTTTTTGTTGGTATATGGTACTATTCTTCTTCGAATCCTTTGGTATTAATTATTTCTTATAGCCCTTTCTTTTACTTTCTCGCTTGCTCAGCAACGGTATTTGAGGCTCATTAAAGGAACTTGAAAGTGATGATTATTATCACACCTACGCGATCTGCTTTATCCTTAGTCCATAACAATTATGTGAACTTTCTTCACATTAAATATATAAATCTTTCATGATGGTTTTTCTATCATAAATATTGCAGCACTTTTCCGAGATTTTCAGAATGATTTGTGGAAAGAACGTTGGCAGCGTGAATTGTTGGAAAAGGATGCGTTGAGCATGAAATCTCAAATAGCACAAGTCAGCTATGTTTCAGTATTATTTTTTTGTTAAAGCCAATTTTGTTACAAGCATTGAGTTTACATTATTTTGGGATTCTACAGATTACGCTGAAACTTTAGGATGGTTGAAATATGCTGAATCTTTTTTCTCTTTGATTTTTTTCTCTGAAGATATTTACTCTGCAGACTGTAATTATCTTCTATTGCGATCATAGTTGAAAAAGAATAGTTCATTTTCTTTTAAATTATTTTCGGCATTATCCGGCTATATTCTTTGATTCCTGGAGAGAATTTTTCTATGATCCGATTTAACTTTTATCAATTTTACAGATGGAAAGGAAACGTGGTTGGCTTGAAAAAGAGCTGGAGATGTTGTACGCAGTGATGCAACAGCAGAATCCCATGCAGTCAGTGAAAATTACAAATGAGGCTGAAAATTCCATACCCAAAAGAGAGGAACTGTTACTTCAACCAGTGCCGACTGCTTCAACAGCACAAATTACTGATACAGAGGAATCATCAAAGTTCAATGTTAACGCTGTGCCATCGAAACGGAGTTCCCTGTCCTCTTCACTAACCTCTTCTGTGCCTCTTAAATCTGGTCCGGTATGTTTAAAGCGTCACTAACTGTGCTTCAAGTGATACTCCCTATTTGTTAAAGATATTTTTATTTTGCCTGTTTTTACTTGTCTTTAGTTAAGGACTGCCAAATTGTAGGGCGGCCACTATAGAAATGCATTTTTGTTTCACATAAGTGACATTGATCATAGAGAAGTCACATGAAACATAGATAGTGATGAAATTTTTGATCTTTTCTAGTTCTTAAGAATATGAAGTCCAAAATTCAAACACTTTCAATATCAGAAAATAAATGTTCTGTATTTATTATGTCTATCTATTTTCTGTTTTCTGATCAAATAAAGTTTCATAAATATTTAAGGATTTCAAAAAAAAGCGAACAGTTCGGAACAAAGATGCGTTAGCCAATGATGACTTGTTGATGGGTGTTGCTTCACTTCTCTCTTGTGCAGTGTGTCCGGATGAAGTAACACTGCGAGATCAGGATGGAATAAAGGAACATTTCATAAATCAGCATCTAGACGGTGGTAAATTTGTATTCTTTGACAACTAAATATAAAGAGTTTTAATATTTTCGGTGAAATTGAAGTCGCGGAAAAATGCCTTTACTGCAATTCTTTTCTTAGTATATTACAATTTTTTTTTAGCATATTACAAATTTTTTGAAACGAAGTCAGGGCGAAGGAAAGGCTGAAAGAGCGGAATGAAAAATAGAACAGAAAAGTTTGATCTGTGATAAACTTTGCAATCGTAATTTCGATTCTTAATTTCAGAGCACGGTCGCTGTCGGGCTTGTACAGAAGAAGTTAAAAGTAGTGATATGCTGAGTCATATGAAAGCGCATCTGGTTAAAAAGTATGCTTGTGAATTTTGCGGCAAGAAAGGAAGGAAGCATTATTTGAAGGCACATATTCGTGTTCATACTGGAGAAAGACCTTATAAAGTTTGTTTTTGGTGTTTCAAGATTAATAGATCCATTTCTCAGTTGTCTAAGACATTGCATCTTCTAGTCTTTTATGATGAATGTTTTATAACATGAGAAGAATCTGGACTACCGAGTTGCTCGGGACAAGCAGCGATGGATTAAGCATAGTAAGTAGTTTTAGTAAGCTACTGGAAGTTTTTAAGAAGTCCCTTCTTTGTTAAATACTTCGAAGAAAACCATTCTTTAGTTGATCAGAAATTTGTCACTGAAATAGAATGATAGATAATGGAGAAGCTTGAAAGCGAACTTCCCTTCCTACTTGCGGTGGATGGTGTGTTTATCTAGTAGTATCCTGATGATGTTTAATTCATACATGAAAATCCTCAGTACTCTCTTGTTATAGGTTGTTTAATGTGCTTAATTACAAAATGTAATTGAATTGTTTTGCACTAATTTGTTAAGATTTTATAATATTCTTCATAAATGATTTGATTTTCTCACATAGTTCCATGTAAGTCGACCTTATTATTTATTCTTGATGAAAGGTATGAATTTGAAGTGGATTATCTACCATCTTTTAAACGATATAGCTCCCTTTCCCTGTGTACTTTCATGTCTGTATGCACCATCTATGTTTAATAATGAAGCAGCTGATATATCGTTTGTTTCTTCAATTAAATTCGTCTAGTTTTTACTCTTCAAAAAATAAGCCATTTTTACTTGTTTAAGTTATTTTTTCAACTTGCAGTGTGACAAATGTCCACGTCGTTTTGCGGACTCATCCACATTTCGCCGACATCAGTTGATTCACACTGGTGAAAAACGATATTCATGTCCGGTGTGTGGACGTTGTATAGCTCGGAAAGATAACGTCAAGACACATTTGAGGAGTCATGTAAAGTGAGTTTACGTGGAATAGATGATCAGCGTAGTATTTTGCAAGTTCGGTGATTTAATACAAACTACAAATTTTTTTTGGAGTTTCGAGGTTTTACAATATTGAAGAAAGGCTAATAAAAGAATCCGTAAAATACTGACATGTTAACTTTTTTGGTAAGTCAACTTATCTTTTTACAGTTTATTAACATTCTAGCGGGTACAGGAATGATTTAATAGCTGGCATCTTTGTGTTGTTTTTTGAGCTAGTTTCTTATTCTAGGACTATTTCCAACAGTGAAAGTGAAGCAGCTGCTTGGATGGAAACCCTCTTAAATTCGTTACCCACTAAAATGGAAAGGAATGCAGTGACTGTACCACCGCTAGATTCGCCAACTTCTGTGGAAAATAATGAAGATCAAAATTTGTTAGGTGACTTCAATTTGTTGGAATCTCTAAAAGAGGATGAGGAAATGAGTGATAAGTGTTGATAATTGAATTCCTGTATTCTTAAGAACTATTAAATCAAATGCATTATTTCGGAAAGCTTAAGAAATGGGCTGGAAGAGGAGTTAAAAAAATGGGTTGGAATTCACCTATCTTTGAGATAAAGTGTTGCAATTAACGGCAGCCTGGCTTAATTAAAAATGTTGGTCATTCATTAATTCAGTGTCCTTGTCTGATATATGAGATTCGTCGTTTCATAAGCAGTTTCGAATTTCAGTACGCTTATTCATTCTATGTTATAAATTCTAAATATCTTTGATTCTATAATCTGACTTCAGTAAGCAAATTGATAGTAATCCAAAAGTGAAAATCATTTCCTATCCTCTAGTTAGACTGACTGACACAGTTTGTGTTGTTGGGACTTTACCTGCTATTGCGGATGTATTGTCTTTTTGGTTTTCTCATCTCTTTCGGGATGTAAATATCCTGATCTGTTTTCTGTCTGAACTGCGAAGTTAACTAATGCGGGAACAGAAGACTGACCTGATAGATCAGGTATCCGTCGTTTGCTGTCGTCTGCATTAGAAGACATGTTTTGTATAGCATAGGTAGGGAACGACTTTTTTCTGTTATCCACATGGATATTTTTCTTCAGTTTTTCTTTTTTTGAAATTTAACTGCCTTTCTGTTTTTTGCCTTGTTCAATTCTGACTGTGCATTATGAGCATATATCCATCTATAGTAGATAATGTTTATTTCTTCAATCATTTGTAAATATATTTCCACTTCTATCATATCTTCAGCTCATAAAGTGTACTTAATTTCAATGTTTACACTTAATCTTTTCAGTTATTATCATTTGAAAGCTCTCAGTTTTGTCCTCTTAAGCGATTTTCAAGTGTGGAATACACTGATTTTCGATTTCCATCTCTACTTCATATTTTTTATGAGATTTATTATTACTGTTAGTTTATAGTAGAGTTTATTTTTTCTCTCGACTGAATGGTGATATCATAAGTAGAGGATGATTGTGGAAGTGAAGGCAAACGTTGGGATGAAATATTCAGAATTATTTCTTGTTTGCTTATTTTAAATGAAATTCATACATTTTTCTGGGATTCGTAGACCATAATTAATCTAAAAATCCTCTGCTCTTTATGCCATTCTTCATTATGCTTCATATAAATCTATCAGTTGGTTTATCACACTAGTTCGAAATCATGTGGATCTGGCTAAGTTATGAATGCCTTCATACATATTTTTTTCGTATTCAGTATATATGGTCGGTGCTACCAATGCCTTGTATTATCATCAAACATGCCTATTTTTTGTATGCTTCGTGTAAACACTACAAAAATGATTTAGCCTTACTTATATTTGTTTACTGCAGGCGTTGTTTATTCATTTTGTTTTTCATTTAGAGGTTGTTTTGAGCAAAGTTTTTCTCAGTCATTTTTTATATTGTGCTTTATCGTTTTTTAATTACTCAATTTGTTACCAATTAATTGTATTGTGGAGTATATTTTTTTTAAATAGTTTTTTTAATTTAATTCAAGACACGCATCTAACCGCGTGAATGCTTGTTCATAAATTTCAAATGAAAATCTGATTTTCGAAAGTTGTTTGCAGCACTTCTATGCTATGCGAGTTGAAAGAAACAACAGAACCGTAAATGTACCGATTAACAAAGGATTCAAATTTGCAGATATTTTTAAAAAGAACTGCTAATTTTGTTAAATAGGTCAGCAAATTAGAATAGTTTAGAATAGCATTAGTGATTTTTGGGGTTGTGAGTTTAATAGTATATTAATAGTACATTAGGGTGGAAATCTCGTCCGTTTGCCTTCATCGTTGAAGAGGCGATAAATGTTCCTTTACTATTAGCGTTTTCTCCATGTGATATCGCAATTTGCATGGGATTATTTTCCATACCTTTTACTTAATTCTATTCCTTGTTTCATTTCTCTCCTTGTCCTCTCTTGTTCCATATGTCACCACTTTGCTTTTAGTAACATGCGAATTGCGTTTTCGATGACTAATTTGATGAAATGAGACATATAAACTGTTTCCTTGTTTCCGACGAGTTCCTAAGTTGAACTAAGGTGGAAGCCGTCGAACGGATCGAAGTGAAGTGGTCAGGATTAAATGTTGTTTCAAACTATGAAAACGTACAGTTGGACCTTTTGATCTTTCTGATCTTTTGACTATGAAGATCGGTGTAGCTTCTTTCAGTTTCTCTTAACGATATTTTTGGTTAAAAAAGCTATTATTTGCTTGAAACTTAGATTTCAGAAAGCTTTGCTTAGCGCAAGAATTTCATAAAATGGATGCCAACTACGACTTATCGTTAATCGCCGCATTAAAACATGATTATGGTGCTGTATACCAAGATATATGTTCTGTTTTTTCTACGGTTTAAAAATATCTCCAGTGATCTTGAACTTCGAAACAGTTTGAGGAGTTTTGATTTTTTTAAATTATGTCTTAGAATTTATCGCTGATAAAGGCTTATGTTGAAATACGTTCTACTACTTTGAACAATGTTCATCAGCTGCGTTTGAGAATGATTTATTTTCAGAAATTTTTTTCAGTAAAGTAATGCATGGCATCCAGAAATTTGAAATCTCTTATTTCATAGCAATATTAAATGCAGGAAATCGCTACTGAAAAAAAAATGGAAACTTGCATAAATTAAGCCATAGACCTTTCCTATTACGGTTGCAATACTTTATGTTCGTTGGCTGTTGTTGATGGCCATATAAGTGTTATTTTTTTATAATTGCAAAAAGATGCTACTCTTATTGCCATTCTTCACTTTCACCTCCTAAACAATTTGCAAGTTTCTATTCAACCTTTTTTCCAAATTGGTTATTTCATTTCGTAACAGAAATTTTCAAAATGGACTCATTGCATGTCTTGAAGAAACGGATACGCATTATTCAACATAACTTACGACAACAATTAAAATGGTAATTTTTTACACATGGAGTTCTGAAAAAAATGAGGGTTGAAATGTAGGAGATTAATATGTAAGAGGAAAATTTTTAATTATATAAAATATGAGAAAAAGAATATCCTTCCCAGTTACCTTAATGTTTTGCTCAATTTCATCATGCTAATGCGTGAAAGTGATATGATAACTGTGTTTTTCACTCCCTTAACTTATTTTTACAGATGATTTCTTAGGAGAAGTTTTCATTTTTACGTTGAGAATCCGCTTGAAGGAAAAGAAAATTGACTATTTAGCTGTTGCTCGATTTATAGCTGGACAAAAAAGATATTATAGACCTCTCTCTCTAACATTAGTAAATTATGACATCTTGGAATTAACGAAACGACTGCGACTGATAATATTACGAGTACCAACGTGAAACGACTGCGACTAAATTAACAAAACGACTGCAAACGACTGCGACTAAATTAACAAAACGACTAACAAAACGAACAAAACGACTGAATACAATATATTAGATAAAGAGAGGAATAAAACAAAGGATCTTTTAGTGATGTGTTAATTGTTCATGAATTTTAAAAGATTTCATATCATATTTTATATATTTTCTTAAAGTTCATCACATGATTAAGAGATCCTCAGATATTACATTTTGAGTTTACGAATTTTTTGAATTCCTCGTCTAAATGATATAAATGAAATTTGATAATTTTTATATATTATTTAGTGATGTGAATAGTGACGAGAAAGTTTTTCATATTTTCGACTTGATACGCTTCATTTCCTTCATTTCTTTTAAATTCATTCGAATTATTTTTTTTTCGCATTAGTAAAGCCAAGTCGTAATTTCTTTCCAAAAAAAGCTCTTGGCCTTTCTTAGTATAGATCCGTCGTTATATGTTTCCTTTTCTCTCACTACATATTTTATTTTTACTACAAATTTAATTTCTTGAAATGTCAAATTTTATGCTTAAAGTTTTAATTTCCTGTTTTATTGCTAGAAGACTTAAAATTGCAAAAGTCCAGAAGGAAATTTTAAAATTCAAGTTTGATTTTATTATGGAGAAATTTTCGATTATTTACAAAGTTTTTTAGGATTCTATTTAGTTCGTTTCTGTTCTTATTTTTGCTTTTTCCACAGGCAAATAGTTACATTACTTAAATTTCTGTACATTTCTTTGCGATTCTAATCCTACAAGTGTTGCAGCAAATTGCTTTCATCGCTGTATTCTAATCGAATTTCATATATGAATCACATATCACAGTACATCGCTAGAGATATTTCCATCTGATTATTCAAATTTTACGCAGATTTAAAAATGTATTGTTGAAGGATTAAATGTAGCAGTTGGGAATCTTAGTCTTATTTGATGTCCGTCATCATGATCAGGTCAAATATTAATTCAGTTGAAACTGAATTTCCGGGTACCAATTATAAAATTCTTCTTACTGCTGGATTAACCATTCCAACAATTATTTGATCTTTATCGCTAACACGGGTTGTTGTTCTCTTAACTTGTTTAATTCCGTCCTCATAACTGCATGGTTCATTTTCGAATCGACAACTATGTGGTGGATTGTGATCGACTCTCGATTATCCTATGTGATAAATTTCCTCCCTCATAAAGAGATTTGCAAATATATTGAAGAGTTCTTTCAATATATTTGTAAAATCTCTTTATGAGGGATGAATTCTTGAAAATGATTGTTTCATTACCGTTTTAAAAGAGGGTTTTGAAAATGCCTATAGAATTTGAAATTTTCTTCTTTATCTAACTAAATTTACATGTCTAAACAACTCTGCCGACGAAAGGATCCGCTCATCTAACAAATTTCTCTCATTTACAAACACCTTTTAGCGTCACATATCTCTGCTTTAGTAAGTTAAAGGTCAATCGGTCTAGGTAAGAAAATGGAACAAGCGACCCATTCTGTGAAATCTCTCGATGTGCTGCTCAATTATTGACATTAAATAAAATAAAATTGGAAGACCTAGTATAACATAGAGCAATGCTGCAACTGATCAGGGAAGTTGTGAACTTCATCGACAACCATAAGCATACTGCATTGTTGTGATGTTGCTGAATATCC